CAGGGGAAATTGACTATTAGTATGGACGAGGTTTGAACATCCATGGGTCTTCTTCCACAGGGGAATTGACTATTAGTATGGACGAGGTTTGAAGATCCATGGGTCTTCTTGCACAGGGGAATTGACTATTAGTATGGACGAGGTTTCAAGATCCATGGATCTTTTTGCACAGGAGAGTTGACTATCAGTATGAACGAGGTTTGAAGATCCATGGATCGTTTTGCACAGGAGAGTTGACTATCAGTATGGACGAGGTTTCAAGATTCATAGGTCTTCTTGCACAGGGGAATTGACTATTAGTATGGACGAGGTTTCAAGGTTCATGGATCTTTTTGCACAGGAGAGTTCACTATCAGCATGGACGAGGTTTCAAGATCCATGGATCGTTTTGCACAGGGGAGTTAACTATCAGTATGGACGAGGTTTCAAGATCCATGGATCGTTTTGCACAGGAGAGTTGACTATCAGTATGGACGAGGTTTCAAGATCCATGGGTCTTTTGCACAGGGGAGTTAACTATCAGTGTGGACGAGGTTTCAAGATCCATGGATCGTTTTGCACAAGGGAGTTAACTATCAGTGTGGACGAGGTTTGAAGATCCATGGATCGTTTTGCACAGGAGAGTTGACTATCAGTATGGACGAGGTTTCAAGATCCATGGGTCTTTTTGCACAGGGGAGTTAACTATCAGTATGAACGAGGTTTCAAGATCCATGGATCGTTTTGCACAGGGGAGTTAACTATCAGTGTGGACGAGGTTTGAAGATCCATGGATCGTTTTGCACAGGAGAACTGACTATCAGTATGGTCGGGGTTTCAAGATCCATGGTCTTCTTGCAGCCAGAAAATTGGTGATGTAGTTAGTTCGTGGATATTTAGAGATCTCTGTGTTTCTTCATTTTATGTCAAGATTTGAACTATTTTCTATCTCTAAGACAGACTCAATTAAACAATTATGAGTATACTAAGAATTATTATCTAAACCAAATACAAGCTCTATTTTATCATTAAAGTTTTTCAGTATTTTAGTATTTTTATGTATAAAGATCCCAAAATACAATTTTTTTTTCTTTAGTATTGCACACTGACAGGAGGCCGCCTCCACAGTTTCTCTACCCCTTACCAGTTCGAAAGACGAGAGCAGGACTGCAGGTTTGATAGTTTTACTAGTCTTGTTTAATAAAGCATTTATTACTATTTTATATGAATATATAATTTATATATAGAAGTTTTAAGTTCAATCTATTTAGGCGACAACATTTTTGCAATTTTTTTTTCAGTTTACCTGCTCGACACAAGCATTAGGTTATAACCATTTAGGCCTCAAAGATGTTTGGATATGTAACAGTGACGGGTACGTGGGCCAGGTGTATATACTTACTCTCCAAACAGAGCCTACGTTGACATCGTGCAACAATGTTTGTAACGCCAGAATTTTGTGTATAGCCTCGGTCCCAGGAGTCAAGCACTCGTGAGTATTATTTTTAAATGATTTCCATAAATCTTTTTGAACTCATTCACACCTGTATCGAGAGGTTCTACGTTACAAAAAAAACGTGCTTTGCGTCTCGTGGTTAACGTGCTGGACTGTGAATCCGAGGATTCATGGTTCGCAACCTGTTGGCATAAAAAATACACTCCATAATTTGGGGTCATAGGTGTATTATTGCTTTGTAAAAGTAACGGTCAAATTCCACTATTCGTTCAGACAAGAGTTGTCCAAGAGTTGACGATGGCTGCTGGTCACTAACTACCTTTACTGTTCCTTATTAATTTAAGATTAGAGACGTTTATGCACAGATAGCCACTGTAGTGTTGCCGAAATGCTAAAACAAATAAACGTTTCCAACTGGTTTTTTTTCTCACAGTGTCTTACCGTGTGTGTAATGTGTAAACCAGAGAAGCATAATCCGTTAATTCGGGATAGATGTTACATTCTATCAATATAGCTAAACGCTCTACATATCATTATACGCGGTTGAAAATAGCGTTTCAACTACTACTTTATATGTTGTAACCCAGTCTGCCTGATTGGTACTGGGCGAAAGGTTACAGATAGGGCGTGGATGAAATCCTGTTCAGCTAACTTCCTACCCAAAACTTGTGTTGAGTGAGTATAAAGAATGTCATTAACATGTTAATCAATCTAATTTTGATGCAATATTACATCTATTTCGGATTATAAAGGCACTACTTCCTATAAAGGCACTACTTCCTAATTATATAAATAAATATAATCCTACTTGATTTGTGTAAATTAAAATAATCTTGACTTCATTTTAATTTTTCCAATGTCTGCGGACTTACAACACTAGAAACCGGTTTTCGATACCCTTGGAGGGCAGAACACAGACAGCCCATTGTGTAGCTTTGTGCTTAACATTAAACAAACAGACAAAATATTTTGGACGCATATTTATAGCTCGACAGAGGCCTAGAACGTTCCTTACGATACGAGATATTATGATGCAATAATTAAAACAATGAGAAAAATAAAAAGGTTCTAGTAATATGACGCAATGATGCAACAGTCGCCAATTTACAACTATTGAACTACACAATGTAATATTCGTAAACGGTAATATGACACAATGATGCAACAGTCGCCAATTTACAACTATTGAACTACACAATGTAATATTCGTAAACGGTAATATGACACAATGATGCAACAGTCGCCAATTTACAACTATTGAACTACACGATGTAATATTCGTTAACGGTTACGTAAAGAAACTTGCGATAAACCTTCTAAAAATAACACTCGCGCTATAGTTAAACGGAAACAGTCGTGTATATCTAACACTGAATAATGGTGTTACACGACTTTTCAGTTTCTCAATAGTAATGTTACACGATTTGTCAGTTTCTGAATAGTAAAGTCACACGATTTGTCAGTTTCTGAATAGTGACGTTACACGACTTTTCAGTTTCTCAATAGTAATGTTACACGATTTGTCAATTTCTGAACAGTAAAGTTACACGATTTGTCAGTTTTAAATAGTGATGTTACACGATTTGTCAGTTTTGAATAGTGATGTTACACGATTTGTCAGTTTCTTAATAGTGGTGTTACACGAGTTGTCAGTTTCTGAACAGTAAAGTTACACGATTTGTCAGTTTTAAATAGTGATGTTACAAGATTTGTCAGTTTTAAATAGTGTTGTTACACGATTTGTCAGGTTTGAATAGTGATGTTACACGATTTGTCAGTTTCTGAACAGTAAAGTTACACGATTTGTCAGTTTTGAATAGTGATGTTACACGACTTGTCAGTTTCTTAATAGTGATGTTACACGATTTGTCAGTTTCTGAATAGTGATGTTACACAACAAATCGTGTAACATCACTATTCAGAAACTGACAAGTCAGTTTCTTATATTTGTTAGTTTTTATTTTTATTGCCTTTATATCTCATTACTTCTCAATGCAGGTGGCATCAGCTTTAGCGGTTCTTTTTCTGAATTTGTTAGTATTAAGTCAACAGATTTACAATACTGAGTTTAAGCAATGTGAAAGCCGAATTGTCTGCCATCTAGTGACTAGATATTAAACTATATTAGATAGTAGGATTAGTTATTTCGAATGCAAATAGCATCTGTTCTGAAAACATGACATTTGTTTCACGAGCACCCACAATAAAGACATTTTTAGAGTTTAATCATTGTTATTTAACAATACCCAAGTAAATGTCTATAACTGCTGATATAGATCTTTAAAAATTTCGTTCCTTATATAACGAGTGAAAACTTTTCTCTCATAAGTTAATATTAATACCTGTTGTTTCATTTCCAGATAGAAAATATAATACAAGAGAGCTTATTTTGGTTTTCTGATGCATGGAACATTTGGAAAATTATTGATGTTATCTTTTTAAATAAATCACAATGTATAGTTGTATCTGGCCCAAGATATCACTTTGGACGATATCTAAAGATACAACATGAAAAGTATTGATTTTTACATGTATCTTTTTACGACATACTACCACCTGGCGAAGATCTTTTCTGAGCGATTCTTATCCAGATCTGAGTTTGGACTCTAAGAACGTTGAGGAAGAAGATGGACCTTTCTCTACCAATGGAAACTTTCAACTGGACAGGTATACAGAAAACCAATAGAACGAATATCGTATCTCCATTTTTCATTCAGTTAAGAAGAAAATGGAAAAGATGCGTGAAACATTTTTCATGATGGTTGAATGTAATTAATGGATCATAATGTTTGAGGTTACTTAGATATCTCTATAACAATAGTTGTTTTTCGTGATGGTTGAATATAATTAATGAATCATAATGTTTGAAGTTACTTAGATATCTCTATAACAATAGTTGTTTTTCGTGATGGTTGAATATAATTAATGAATCATAATGTTTGAGGTTACTTAGATATCTCTATAAATTTATAGAAGCTGAAAGGAAAGAGAGAAATATTGATAGACTTATATGCATTAGTATCGATTTCTGTAATCTGTAGTCAACATACAATAGTTGTAAGAACATTGTTATAGTGGTTGAAATTTTATTGTGGTTTGTAGTCAACATACAATAGTTGTAAGAACATTGTTATAGTGGTTGAAATTTTATTGTGGTTTGTAGTCAACATACAATAGTTGTAAGAACATTGTTATAGTGGTTGAAATTTTATTGTGGTTTGTAGTCAACATACAATAGTTGTAAGAACATTGTTATAGTGGTTGAAATTTTATTGTGGTTTGTAGTCAACATACAATAGTTGTAAGAACATTGTTATAGTGTTTGAAATTTTATTGTAGTTTGTAGTCAACATAGAATTTGTTATAAAAATACTATTACGGTATTTGAAAGTTTATTTTAAGAATTACGTGTGTTGGGTCAGTGTGAAATAAATACCTCCTCCAACTGTAAGAATTAGCTCCATTGACTTATAAACATAAAATATCTTATTAATATATTTTTTCTGAATAACTTAACTCTTGAGTAAAAAAATAACGATTATTTTTTCAAACGATATATAAAGGTATCTTGCGATATTTTGGAGTTTAAACTTGAGGTGTTGACAGTAACTGAGATTATTCTTAAAATCTTTCAATTAGGCTTAACGTTAAAATGTACTCAAAGTAGGCTAAAATATAACAGAAATAATATGTTTTGACTAAAGAAAATTAATTTCTTAGGTAAATCTTTAATATTAGGATTTGTGGATATAAATATCAGATGACTTACAACAATTTAATTTTGTAGCGATTCCAGTGATACTGGCGAGGAAGATAGCGAATCTCCAGGTAATTGTAAACTATTTTAGTTAGGCTTAACGAGTTAAACTTTTCCGTTTTGATACTATTAGAAGAGGTGTTTAAGGAAACAAATAGTTAGTTTATTGTACATTGATATTGAAATTTTCTAATATGATAAACTGTAATATTCGCACTATTGTTTATCTGAACCAAATATATAAATTCGTTTAGGAAAGATCACTGGTTAATTTAATTTTATAATCTTATTTCAGTGAGAGATTAGATTTTAGTTTTTTCACAATTTAATGTAAAGGTCACATTAACAAAGTAACTTGAGCCACACTTCTTACTGATGTGCATACCACACTGTTTTCACACAATAGTAACAAAACGGACCAAGAAAGATATGAGGATGTTACATTACTGTGAGGGAATGACTGAGATTTCTTTCATTTTTACGTTCCTACCTGACAGTAAGTTTGATGGGTTTTTTTCTAGATGAACACTTCACTACAAAACCGAATTACGCTGCAGGAAATTATTTAGTGAGAGAAGATACCAAAGATGAAGCAGTGGGTGAACAATCAACCATGTGGTTAGGCACAGAGGACGGATGGTAACTATTGTCATAACAAAATATCTAATATTTCAATAAGCCTTGAAATGGTGATCACATTCTTTCCTAACTTTTCCTCCCGACTTTCTAAAGACAATTTCAGATTTTTCAAGAACTACATACGCGCACGTACGACACGTTAATCTTTTAACTTTTCCTCGTAGTTCTACCGAAGTAACTAAGCTTTAGATTGTAATCTGGGGAAAAAAAAGGGGGTAATAGGTACTTCAGAAATATATCTTCAAATTAGGGCATCGCAACTCGGTGGTAGGCAATAAAATTTTACTGTTTCATCTATAAAACGATATCTGACCTAAACTATCATCAAATATTATGACATAGATAATAGCCATAAGATAAAATAACAAGCGAGATGTTAAAATAAAAATTGGGCCCTAAAAGGATGAAAATGTTTTGTTGAAGGCAATGAAATAGCTGTGATTTAAAGGAGGTCAAAGATCACACATGTAAACCTCTCTCTCTCATTTTTGGCAGGTCAGTAGACAATTCTCAAGTATCTGAGAACTGGAGATTGGCTAATGTTGGTTCTATTGTAAATAAGGGTCGTATGAATTGCCCTCTTTTTGTTTTTATTATTATTCATTTTAATGATATTGATGGCGTGTAATTAGTATAATAGTAAAGTTTGCCCATGATATTAATCTCTTGGGTATTTCTAGTCGTACTGGGGATGTGGAGGGATTACAGAATGATTTGAATTAATTGATAGATTGGACAAATAATTAGCAAATCACGTTTAATTATAGTAAAAAATAAGTAATATATTAGGGTTAGCATGATTTGGGATCACATGCTCATTCAGTAGTGTGACTGAAGAAAAGGGTCCTAGAATAGTGGCGGATAAGTCATGGTGGTGGATAAGTCACTGATGCAGTATGTGTGTGTATTCGCTTATAATTAGCGTATCGCTGTACCGATTGTCACCGAACCAGGCATCTACCCTTAGAGCCCCAATAAAGGTGACATAGTAGTCGACGTTTGGATCTGCCAATGTCACCTCCCAGAGGTCCCTACGTTAAACGGGTACCTCATACCAATAACTGACATAACTAAGCAGCATGGTTTGTGTGCACTGACAGGGTTCCCAAATGGGAAGAAAAAAAATGCTTTAGTAGCTTATCAAAGATAGTAGCATTTTGTCCGACGTTTAGGTGCCAAACTTGCCTCCCAGTGGCACAGCGGTATGTCTGCGGACTTATACTGCTAGAAACCTGGTTTCGATATCCGCGGTGGGCAGAGCACAGATAGCCCTTTGTGTAGGTTTGTGCTTAATAACAAACGAAAAACGTGCTCAAACTTAAACCCCTCGTCAGCCTATCAAACAATATACACAGATTTCTCTTCAAAAAACTGTTAGGCTGTTTACAGTTGAAAGTGCTTGATTTTTGGATCAATTAGAGACTGTTTTCTAGCTGATTTATCTGATGCATTGCTTAATTTTTTTTCTTGCGGGCCAGGATTAGCATTGACGTTTCGCTTTACGTGAATATTTTTTTCGACTTCAACTCGCCAGGTAATAGCATCACCAATCTGAGGCGAATTCTACACTTTTAGCTCAGTTCCTCACACCTCTTGTTGCAAAAATGTGACAAGAACCTGATTTTTTTATGAACCTTTATGCTGCGATTTCGGACATGTCTGTAGATGATATTTTTCACATTAATTCATTCTTAAATCCAGCATATTGTTGCGTCAGCGAGGTCACGTGACTAGTGTCACGCCCCCTGCTTTCTGGAAATATCTTGTACCTTCGTGAATTGTCGGGAGATTACTAGATATAGCGTAGCGTGGTATATATAAGAGGGTGACAACGTGACGGGACAATAATGTGTGTGTAGGTAGTGAGTAATTGAACTGCAGTCAGGAAGTATTGTTGAAGTTAACGTTGTTGTTAAAACGTTTGTAAAAGAGCGACTGTTGAAAATAAGTGTATCGGTAAAGTTATATTCAGAAAGAATAAACCAGTTTTATTAAGTAAGGACTTGTGTCGCTAAAGTTTCGTCGGAACGAAGTTACGGAAAATCAATTAACAAACGGAGACGTAACAATATTATAAACATTTCAAAAACAAAGTTGAAAACAGAAATTTCCATAAACGTCCTCGTATAGGCATCCAAAATGTTTCTGTCAAAGATGATGCTTGTTCTCCCCCTCTATCAGGCAGTTTTGTCATTTGTGCCCCCCCCCCCAGTGGCACAGCGGTATGTCTGCGGAGTTACAACGCTAGAAACAGGGTTTCGATACCCGTGGTGGGCAGAGCACAGATAACCCATCGTGTAGCTTTGTGCGTAACTACAAACATCTGTAGTTCATCGTTTTAAATCAAACACTGTGTTGTGATAAACTTTTCTACGTACTGAACTTAATTTGTTTGTTTTAGGATATGTTTACAAAGTTACTTAAGACCTTTTGCGCTAATTCTCTCTAGTTTTGGAACTAATAAACAGTTGGGAAGGTAGCTAGTAAAAAGAACATACCGTAACTCTTGGTTACTCTTCTTTAATCGAATAGTGAGTTTTGGCTGTAATCTTTATAACGCATACACGTCTCCAAAGTACCGAGCGCGACCTACAGATCTTTCTCTCCTAGTGGCGCCCCCCAGTG